TTGCGTCATTTATTCGTCACAATCTCGGAGGTTAAAGCCTTAAGACTAAACCAGATTGAAAAACATAAACTTTTATCTATTCTCCTCCTGATCATTGAAATCTTCTGCGACAATCATGATTTCATAAAAACAATTTTACTGTGGTATTTATTTCTTGTGATAAAGGCTCATGAAGTTTACTTTAAAACCTTAAGGATAAACAAAGGGGAGTTTATTTAAAGTCACTGAGCACCATCTTCCTCTCCTATATCTCCTTTCTTCTTCTTGTACCTGTTCTCTATCTCTCTTCACGCTCATGTTCTTGTTCTAATATTTATTCAATCGTCCCTCCGTCCCCATCACCAATCCCTCACTGCTCCCTCTTCTGGCCACCTTCACGCACTGTTAGCAGATTCAGCCGTTGCCAGGGGTGACTGCATCCTGGAGGTTTGGGTTGTCTGGCAGCAGCGGACGGTTGCCGTCTCGCACGGATGAATCCTGAAGCTCTGAAATGTACACGAGGAAAGAAAAAACAACAGAGGCAGTGAAATGGTACAAAAACAAACAGGATGAAGGGCAGAGGATTAGATTGGAAATATCAAAACAGACCCTTTGCTCTTTTGCGTCATCCGTCTGCTCATCCATGCATAAATCCAACCTGTCGCCTGAAGCCTTGATGGCTCCGGCGGAAGATCATAAAACATGAAAGAGTCCAAATTACAAAGTAAAACTGTTTTTTTTTTAAAACGTAGATTTAACATCACATGTAATTGTTGTGCGCTCTCAATCACACAGAGACGTGATGTGTCCGTGTGTGTTGTTGGATCTGAGCTGGACCTCAGGCTGTTTGCTTATTTTGCTGATGTCCAGTGTTTCTGCAGCACGGCCTCCAGCTCTTGGCAGTTAAAAAGCCATTGAGGTAATGAGGGGCTTGGCTGCCGGTACGGTGTCGGTTAATAAATGTCCTCTTACTGGAATTAGCAACCGACCTGGAGAGAGAGGGTGATGATGATGGGGAGGATAAGGGAGGACTGAGCAGGAAGAAGGATGATGGAGGAGGCTGAATTTAAAAGAAACTCTCAATTTAGATTCACTTCACCCGATTGATATTTTTCTCCATTTCTTTATTTTCATGCTTTGTTTTCTCTTGTCATCGGTGCAGAGTTTTAAGTGGTCAAATAGCTTCTCCTCTAGGGGACAGGGGACGCCTGTCATACATCTGCAAATGTGTTTTTATTGTTGAGGGAAAGAAAACAAGGGAGAAGATGCCTCAGGTTGATGCAACGTGTTATTGATTGTGCATCCTGCTGGATGAAGCTAACTCGTCTGCATGGTCCAGTTCTGTGTTCAAGATGAAGAGCAGATGCATAAAAACAGTGCAGGTTCAGAATTAAACCATATAAGTTGGAGATTCTCCTCGTAGCGTCTCTTGGAGGGTTCAGTCCCAGGAGCCGCTTCAGTAAATCAAGCCCAGCTGCTAATCTGCAAACAACTGCCGCTTGCAAATTGCAGATGAAAGTGTGAGACCTTTGATAAAAGACGTCAAAGATGATGATTTTTTTTTTTTTTTCCAATCAATCGTGGTTTTGATTTTTAATGCTTCTGATTTCAGGTCAAAGTCCGCCCACGGACTCTGCTCCTCCCCCTCGCCTCTCTCTCTCTCCGTGGAGCATCCCCTCTCTACGCCCCCACACTCCCCTCCCTCCTTCCTGTTGGACAAACCCTGCCTTCCACCCCCGTATGAGACAGAGCATGGAATTTTCCAACCTGTCTCTGACTTTACACACACACACACACACACACACACACACACACACACACACACACACACACACACACACACACACGCAGAGAACTGTGTGCTGTGGGAGCCAACATACTGTTATTGAGATATTGACTTAATCGCTCCTGTTGTAATTGTTCATTTTAAACAGTTTAGGTGAATAATCATTAACTAAATAATATGTGATTTGTGTAAACATGTAACAAACAGTGTTTCTTCATAATTTATCACCATTCATTCATCATGGTCTATTTTCTCAGTTGTTCTGGAGCTTTTGTCCAAAATCGCTCATCGGCAGTTACATGAATTTGTTCACTGAACATGGGCCGTCTGCATCAGCAATCAACGTTTGGTGCGTATCCACATCAGGTGGCAGATTCCAGGCACATTTATAGGACTGATATATAATTTGGTGCAGATCCAAATAACAATCTGGATCTGGTGAATTTAAATGTGGTTGCATAAGGGGACTGATTGGTCATTGCAGAGGTTAACGCTCTCCAGAGGGACAGTTTAATTATTTTATTGATTCATAATCTGCTTTCTCACTTGCAGTTTTTGTCAGAGGATGATGCGTCAGTTTTGTGGATATGAAAGTGTGAACTGTGCAGGATCACCTGGCCTCTGCAGGCGATGTTGGTGTGAACACATTCAGTTGTTGGGTGTTTTTGACACTCCTCTCTGTTTTCCCTCCCTCCCCCCCTCTCTCTCTCTCTCTCTCTCTCTCACTCTCGGCAGTATTTTGTCGTCGGTGGGGTCTCAACTTGACCTGAGGACGCTACGAGCGGTCAGAGTGCTGCGACCGCTGAAACTGGTGTCTGGGATTCCCAGTAAGTGCATGAACTATAACTATAGTTGAATCCATACAAACTGTGTATCCCTCCCTACAAGTCCCATTAACATTAAACACTGAAGCAAATAACGCATTTTACGACACCCAGAAAACTGGAGGACGCTGTGAAACGGTCACTTGACTGTTTTGGTTTGTTGGTTTCAGCTGCAGCTCAGGTGACACTGACAGTTACTACAGTATATTTCTTAATACCTCATCATCTGTAATCCACTTCACAACTCCACTGTCCACTGTATTGTTTTGACAGAAGGCCCCCGGCACACTGTCCTGACTCTTTGTTTTGCACTGTGTCTCCAGGCCTGCAGGTGGTGCTCAAGTCCATTATGAAGGCCATGATCCCCCTCCTGCAGATCGGCCTTTTGCTGTTCGTGGCCATCCTCATGTTCGCCATCATCGGCCTGGAGTTCTACATGGGGAAGTTCCACACCACCTGCTACGATGAATTCACAGGTGAAATAAAAAAAGAAAGATGGATGCCATGTCCGCTCTCAAAAGTGAAGCCAGATCATGGTGGCTGGCTGCAGTAAAGGCAAAGCAGACGTCAAATAAATCAAAGATGGTTTCTGTCATTTGAGATCACACTGACGGTTGTTCAGGTGTGTGACTTCCTGTCGGTGCTTTAGGTCCAGACGACATTTTGACTGCACAGCTATCTTAGGTTACTCAGGTTGATGTCCCCATTGTGGGAGTAGTAGATTATCTTACCTTATATTATCTTATCATGTGGCTCAGTGGGACATTTTAAAATAGAGCCATCATTAGTTCTATGATTAATTTCGATCAATTTCCTAGTTCTTTTGTTTGAAAGACCATACTTATCACCGAGGCTTTGGAACTGACACACCTGAGTGGAACGCATTCATCATACATTCATACATCATTATTACATTCAAACAGCAGATTGTGATACAAAAACTGCTTCTTAAACAAATAAACCTTTTCGTTTGATCCAAAATGTATTTTAATCATATAACTTCATTCCGTCTCTCTCTCTATCTCTCTATCTCTCTCTCTGATCAGGCGACCTGGTGGATGAATTGCCATGTGGCACAGAGTTGCCGTCCCGGTTGTGTCCGAACGGCACGGTGTGTAAAGGCGGCTGGCTCGGACCCAACTACGGCATCACCCAGTTCGACAACATCCTGTTTGCTGTGCTCACCGTCTTCCAGTGCATCACCATGGAGGGATGGACAGAGATGCTCTACTACGTGAGTTCAACAAAGACCCGACTGTAGTTTTAACCTAGTAAAAAAAAACGTGTTGATGTGAGATCATAAATATCTAATAATATATAAACTGTTGTTTTGGGAAGTCACACACTGTGTGCAGAAGTTTATGAAGCTGTGAGAACAAATAAATTACGTAGACGTCAGAGCTAAAATCTTCTGTCAGCAATTTGGAGAATTCGAGTTTTCGTTCTAAAAAATGGTGGACGAGATGGTACAGAATGTCACAATGTGCCGTTTAATAAGTGGCGTACACACTGGGGGGTGTTCTGAAAGCCTCCCTCCCCACTGCTAGTCACTTATTAATGAACTTATAATGATAATAATAAAACAGTTGAGTTTCATTAGAGGACACTGAGCTCAGGTGAGGTGGTAACAAGAGGCTGTGGTGGACAAGTGGGTTGAGCACAGAACTTTTAAAAAGGCGACCGGGGTTCGAGTCTCTAAGTTTTTAGACTCACTGTACATATTATTACACCATCTTTATTATCACTACCCAGGTATAAAGTACAACACTTCTTCACATTTGGTGTAATAAAGAAGAGCGCAGGTCTCCAGCTCTTCATCGCTGATCGTTGTCTCTGATCTCAGTGATGTGCATTTGTTTTGTACTGTTTGTGTTGTAGCTCTTATCAAGGACTTGTGGAGGTTTCTTTCAGCTAAATGAGGCGTAAACCACCATTTATTTTCCATCCCTCTCTCTCTTTCTCTTTATTATTCTCTTCACTTCCTTTATCCATCTTCTCATCTGTCCTATTCCTGCCTTCGAAGTCGCTCTCCCTCTCCTTCTCCGCCTCCCTCTCTTCCTCTCTGTATTCCGGTGCGTCTCGCTCTATATTTAACATCTGTTCTGATGGATGGAGGCTGACTTCCACACTCACACAGGCAGTCAGAGGGAAACCAATGAAAGTTTAATAGAGAACGAGCAGCTTTCACTGTGCCGTGCAGTATGAGAACCTAACCCATGCATGCAGCTCTCCAGCAGCAGGTAATAATCAGCTGATAGTTACATTAAAGCATCACGCGGGTCACAGAAACACGATATCCTCCCGGTATCCTGACTTCTCTGATTGTCGGCTGGGTTTGTTTGGTGAGAGGAGGAAGTGACACGGTGTCAGACGCTTGTATTGTGTCTCACCAGACACGTCGGTGCAATCGATGTCTGTGAAAGCAGAAGTAACATAACACCACACATGGCGTGCGACCCCACGTTCCTGCATCCAGGTCATTTCTGAGCGAGCTCACATTTCAGTTCTCCTCGGATCTTATGCAGCACAGGAGGAGTTGATTCAGGCGCGTCTACAGTACGTGGCTTTAGTTAGATAGTTAGTTGTACTCATTTGTCCCTTGTTGTAGCTTGTACCAAGTAGACTGATTAAGATTGAAATCTATTTTGCTGAGATAAGAAAATCAAACCAAATGTTGAAGTAGAGCCATAGTTCACAAAAAATCAAGTCAACTTTATTTAGAATTTATCATTTAAACTTGTCCTCCTCGTCATGTTTTTGTCCCACAGGACACTCAAACCCCTGAGGGAATATGTGGGTCTTCTGTTTAACCTTAAATATCCGCTGCAGCTGGAGAACGCTACATTGTAAAATGTAAACTTCCAAATCTTTGGGGGCAGCTACAGCAAGAGAAAAAATATAAGTTCTATGTTTGATTTTAGGCTGTAACATTAATCTGCAGTTAAGTTGTATGATTTGTCTGAATTATTTTGTGCAGCAGATGAAATATTTGAACGAACATGTTGGAGAATCTTTGCTCGTGATTTGATTTGACCTCTCTGGAAACAGAACATAGACATTTGAATGTATTAATGAAACTGTAATAACTTGTGTGTCTGTGTCTCCCTGCAGAGTAATGATGTGGAGGGCAGCGCCTGGAACTGGATGTACTACATCCCCCTCATAATCATCGGCTCCTTCTTCATGCTCAACCTGGTGCTGGGTGTACTCTCAGGGTACGGTCCTCTGTGGGACACTTACAAACAATTTCACATGACTGAAAGTTATTTTAATTCATGTAATACTATTGTACATACTACTTTACTCTACTTTATTGCAAAATCTATATCTTGTGAAATGATTAAAATAAAAATGTAGAAAACTGACAAATGTCCCCACAGTGAATTTGCCAAAGAGAGAGAGCGAGTGGAGAACAGGAGCGAGTTCCTGAAGCTGAGGCGACAGCAGCAGATTGAGAGAGAGCTCAACGGATACCTGGAGTGGATCTGCAAAGCAGGTTGGTGCATGACGACATGCGGCTCAAGTCCGTGAGTCGACACACAAACCTAATCCTCACACAGCGTGTTCACATATTGTCTCCTTTCATTCGTACAGAGGAGGTGATTCTGGCCGAGGACGACACCACAGGGAACTTTGATGGTATTGACCTTCCTCCAGTTTTATTGTGTGTATGTGTGACGCAGAGAAAAAGAGACGGAGCGACAGTCGCTTTAAATTGTAACTGCACTAAATGTCACAGCCTCGTACTTATCAGTTCCTTTTTTTATTCCCTGGAAATCAGAGACAAAGTCAAAACATTTTAACAATATTTAAGAAAGTCATTTAAAAAAATCTAGGGCCTGTTGTTTTGGTCGTAGTGTGTGTGCGTAGGATTTTGCACGATGCAGCTGCAAGTGACAACGTTTGTCCAAAAACAACCTTCTACTCACGATAGGTTCGAGGCGACGGCCAACCATCAAAACCAAAAACAACAAGACGGAGCTGCTGAACCCTGAGGAGGGGGAGGACAACATGGGAGACGCAGTCGGTAAGAAAAACAGTGGAGAGGACGGAGAAACGCTTTCTGTGCCGTGACCTGTGCGACAAACTTTCACTCACACTCCATGACGCCTCCCTCCCTGTTAGGTTTCGCCCGCTCCAGTATAAAGAGCGGTAAGGACGGATCCAATTACAGCAAGAAGGAGCGACGACTGCGATTCTTCATCCGCAAGATAGTGAAGACGCAGGCTTTCTATTGGACCGTCCTCTGCCTGGTGGGACTCAACACCATGTGTGTGGCTGCGGTGCACTACAACCAGCCTGAGCTGCTGTCTGACTTCCTGTGTGAGTGAACGCACACACACACACACACACACACACACACACACACACACACACACACACATACACACACAAAACACATCCAGAGAATCATATCAACACACCGTTGTGAATAGGCTCTACATGCACCACATCCTCTTGAACACTGGAAACTGAATTTTGTTCCTCTCACCAGTTATGGATCTTTGGTCGTGGTTATTATTATTATTAGTAGTAGTAGTAGTAGTAGTACTAGTAGTAGTAGTAGTATTTCAGACTGTTAAAAAGTGTTGTTTATATTTAAATCAATTAGAACAGTTTCTCATAATTGACTGAACACAGCTTGGTCCAAACATGGACCGTCAATAAAGATGGACGCATCGCCACAGAAATTAAACCAAAGTAATCTGGAGGCAAACGCTGCCATCTTAAATCAGAGTCTGTGCAGTAATGATTGGGAGATAGATTTTTTTTTGTTTAGTCCATGTCCCAACTGCTAACATGGAGGAGGCTGAATTTAAAAGTCTCATAAAATGGTTGCTGACATGCTTTGGCCACATTTTGCATTTTCACTCTTTATTGTGGCTCGAGACACAGACGTGCTGCTGTTGACATGAGCAGACACACACACACACACACACACACACACACACACACACACACACACACACACACACAGAGTCAGCTCGTTGTCCCTGGCCCGTGTCCAGTGTCATTAGCATATGAAGCTGTAGCTGCTGATGGAGTCCATTCATCACCTCACTGTCATACACTGCTGGGCTCGCACCACTATCAACTTCCACTCCTCTGACTCCCTCGTTTCCCTTCTTCTGTTTTTTTTTTTTCCATCCCCCTCCTCTCTCACTTTCTCTGTGTCCTAATCTGTTTTGTTCTATTTCACTCCCCCCTCCTCTCGCCCTCTCTTCCTTCCTCTCTCCACACTCCTTTATCTTTCACTCCCACCGTCGTCCTTCCCCCGAAATCTCTACCCTTTCCTATTCTCCCTCCCTCCCTTTCCTCCCTCTCTACTTGTCCTTTCCTGCCTCCAGTCTATGCAGAGTTTATCTTCCTCGGTCTGTTCATGTCTGAGATGCTGATCAAGATGTATGGTCTGGGCATCCAGCCCTACTTCCACTCCTCATTCAACTGCTTTGACTGTGTGGTGAGTGCACGCACACACACACACACACACACACACACACACACACACACAGCTCGTAAGTATCAGGATTTAATGACAAATCCGCACTCAACAAATTTGAGGAATAGATTTTTCTTCCGTTGCCTCGCGACAATGACGCAGAACAGATTCAGCGTCGTGTTTGTTGTGGCTGAAAGTGCAGGAGCTGTGTTTTCATTTGTCAGGCTGACATTGTTTCTGACAGCTCACTTCATATTACACTGGGATCCGGCGCCTGATCAAGTGACTCCATGTTGTGTTGCGTTCAGGCAGCAGGTTCGGTCAAACACTCTGAATGCAGCAGTGAAGAAGAAGCTGAATTTATAATGAAATGTTCTTAGCTTTTCTTTTAAATGTCATTTTAACATGTTTATCTATATTGTATGTAAAACACTTTGAGCCTCGTTTCTTGTATGAAAGGTTTTATAAATCAAATTTGATCCATATATCAATGAAGTTGAGAAACAAAAGGAGCTTAACAACCAAGTTTTAAGAGGTTTTGTGTGTGTGTGTGTGTGTGTGTGTGTGTGTGTGTGTGTGTGTGTGTGTGTGTGTTTGTGTGTGTGCAGGTAATTGTGGGCAGCATCTTTGAGGTGGTGTGGGCCACCATCAAACCAGGCACGTCCTTTGGGATCAGCGTGTTACGAGCTCTGCGACTGCTCCGCATCTTTAAAGTCACCAAGTAAAGTCTCGCTCTTCTTCTGTCACTCAATCCCTTTTTTCTTTCTCTCTCTCTCTCTCCTCCATTCCCGCACTCTTTTACGCCCTGTTCTCTCTTTACTACTTGAAGCCTCTCCCTCACTAAACTTCATCCTCCTCCTCTTCAGGTACTGGGCTCCTCTTCGAAACCTGGTGGTCTCACTGTTGAACTCCATGAAGTCCATCGTCAGTTTGCTCTTCCTCCTCTTCCTCTTCATCGTGGTCTTTGCCTTGTTGGGGATGCAGCTGTTTGGAGGACAGTCAGTATCAACGCCAGCTGAAAGACAAACTCATTCCTCTGTGTTTAATATCAAGTGTCCACCTTCTTTACCTAACTGTGACTGTATTTCACTTTTTCCTCAGATTCAACTTTGAAGCAGGAACTCCGCCAACGAACTTTGACACTTTTGCTGCTGCGATCATGACGGTGTTTCAGGTGAGAGGGAAGACTTCTTCAGATATTCTATACATCAGAAAATGAATGTCCTCGTGATTTTGTCCTTATTTATTTAATCCTACCCTTCCGATGTATTTTATCATCTGTATACCAATTCCACAAACGTCGGCCTGCCTGCGGAACGCATAACTCGCACTGCGCTCATCTCATCTGCCTCAAACTTGAAGCGTGTGCTGTAAAGTGCTGGAAGAAGTGGAACACTGAATTCGGTGCAATTTAGACACGTGATAAATTCAATAAGCAGCGCTATGCAGCAGTCAGCGGGGGTGGGGCTGTGTGCCTTCAGTCTGCGGACAGAGTTGAACACGTCTTCTTCTACAGCCTCAGATAATCTACAGCGGTGGTCGAAGACATGTTGCTTCCAGATCATTTTTATAGTTTGTTTTTCAGGAACTTTTATAGAATCACTTCCTCTTTAGCAATTTGTCTTCAAAGTAAAACCACAACGTTCGTTTTGTTGCTGCAGTGTCGGTTAACAGACTCTGAAATAGCCGACATGCAATGTGTAACAGCAGCTCAGTAAATGACTGACGCTTCTTCACTGCATATAAACCAGGTAGGATGAGCACAAAGCTCTCTAACCAAACTCTGCACACAAACAATAAAAAGCGAGAGAATATTGTGGAATTGTTTGAGGACGACTCTTAAGGACAAGGAATAATTCTGAAGAAGCTGCGACAACCAATTTTTGAATAAACGGCATAAAGTATAATAAATCAGAGTTTTAAAAATGAACCTTGACCTCATCGCGGACGTTTTCTGCTCCTCTCTGCAGATTCTTACAGGAGAGGACTGGAACATGGTGATGTACGATGGAATCAAGTCTCAGGGAGGAGTGAACGACAAAGGGATGGTTTTCTCCATCTTCTTCATCGTCCTCACGCTCTTTGGCAACTGTATCCTTCCTCCCACACTCACATAGACTTACACGCAGTCTTTTCCTTTTATACTATATTTGTAATATTGGTGAGAGTTTTTTCTGGACCATCTGTCTCTCTCCATTTATTTCTTCTCCTCATGTTTCTCCATCAGATTCCTCTCTATCATTTGTCCTTAACTTCTTCCACCACAGACACTCTGCTCAATGTGTTCTTGGCCATCGCTGTTGACAATCTGGCCAACGCACAGGAGCTCACAAAGGTACTGGATATAATGAATAATAGAATTTTGATTTAATATAAGGAATAAGCGAAATACTAAAATACTGGGACCTATGGAAGGAGATGTAGTAATTTTGTACACCATGATACTGCAACTAATTACTGCTAAAAACACAACATCACATTTATAACGTGACAATTAAATTTGCTGTAAAACAGACGTGATATCAACTGGAATTTATTCTCTGTTGCTGTTTTTGTTACTTTCTAATAAATTCGTCATGTGCCAGTAAGTTGAACTTCAAACCAAGACGAAGTGTATGAGACGATTCTCTTCTCCTCCAATAGGATGAGGAGGAACAAGAGGAGGCAGCCAATCAGAAGACAGCAATGCAGAAGGCCAAGGAGGTAGCAGAAGTCAGTCCACTGTCAGCCGCCAACCTGTCTATTGCTGCGTGAGTGCACACACACACACACACACACACACACACACACACAGAGCCTCTCGTCGTCATGCAGAGATTTTTGCAGAATTTCAAGAACTGCGGATTCTGTGTTGCCATGGGAACATGCAAATCAAAGTGTTTGGGAACCGACGACGCTGCAGTTTACTTTACACATGTTGCTTTGTGTAAAGAGCTAGTTTCAAGTTTTATTTGTCGTATGCAAGTTAACACAGCGTCAACAGTGCAATGAAAAGTTTTGGACAAGAAGAAGCTTGTTGAATTAAAATGAAAGAAAGGAAAGCGATAACTCTAAAAACGTACGATACAATAAAATCAGTTGTTTCAGATTCTTCCATGTGAAGAGCATCTACCAGAAGCAACAACAACGGTGACTGTGTCCCGGTTTGTCTGCGTTTGATTTGCACTGCACGTCTGCCTCACACAACAGTCTTACAGATTTTTCAGTCGTTTTTGTGTTCTCATCTGGACGGAGATATTTTGTGAAACAGAGGGAAAACATCAGGAGTTGTGTAGACGAGCCCTAAGGAGACATCCACCAAATTCTCCTGAGCTGTTATGTTTCTGGACGGACAGAAACAGAGACATTTGGAAACGTTGATCGGTTCTCATTAGTTGACCAGCGGAGGTGAAGGCAAAACGTTTCACCTCGTTGATGGTCTGAGAAGAGAAATCACTCGTCTCACCATCGATGTTCCGTGTTCATGACCAGTGGACGTAAATGCTCATGTGATAAGTGTTTCTCAGGTGTGCTAGTGGGGACAGGGATCGTTTCTGATACGCAGCTAAAACGTTGGCGTGGATTGAGACTGATTTAGTTTTAAAACGTGTTTGGATCTGGACGTAGCCTAGAATTTAAACCCTCTTCGGGTCGATCGTCCTCACTCCCACGGTCTAAAAGTGGTCCTCGCAAAGAGGGTAATTCAAGTGTACACACACACCCACACTTGCAGACAATAAAAATCCCTCTGACTCTTTTTGTGAAATTGCACTCGCACACAAAGCACTGTCTCTCTCTCAGATCTGTCATGAGTGGCAGTCGTTCGTGTGCACGTGACGCGCGCACGCAAGCACACACCGCCACACTCTGCCCGTTCTCGTCCTCCAAAACACGACTAAGCGATTGTTCTGAGAGTGAAAGGAACCAATTCGGGGCTTTGTGAAGTGAAGAAGAGCGAGAGGCGGACAGTCTGTAAAACCTGCTCCTGGCAGCAGAATCGCTGACAATAGGACACATCAAAATGATGCTCAAAAAAAAGAAAAGAAACCTGCTGCTCCTTTAGAAGTCACCGGACTCGAGCTGAGCCTTTGACGGTTAGATTAGAAGCTGGTGGGTTTATGCTGCGGCAGTGCTTGTCATGTACACACCAACCCGTCAATCATTTACTGTATAACTTCTATAGGTTAGAATCCAAAGCAGTTTTGAACGTTGCTCATGAGCATCATTTTCTTTTTACAGTATGAAGACAGAGCTCCAGCAATTAGTTTCACTCCTGCGCTCACAAACTCAGTGTTTTAGTCACGTACAGGTTTATAATTTTAATGTGGAGGTCAAACGGGATGAGATTATATAGTGTACAATTTAAAATACACATTATTTGCAAGTGTCAACCCACCGTGACCTCACCCATCTCGTGTGTACAAGTGCCCCCTGGCTTTAATGGGTTCTTTCCATACCATACCAAAATACAGAAGCATAAAGAACATCATGGATCAGCTTGTGTAATTCAGAGAGAAAACACTGAGACCGGAGCTCGATGGCCATTGTTCAGTTTCTCAGGAAAGTCAAAATGTTTTTTTGGGGTGAAACTGAGGTGCAGCGTGTTTAAGACAAATTGTTGAGGGTGTACAATGTTTGATTCTCCTCTTCCTCACGGTTCATGCTTCCTTCATTCAGACCTTAATCTGACGTTACGTTATTTCCTCTCCTTTTCCTCTCACCCTCCTCATCACCATATCCCTCTTTACCTCCCATCCCATGGCTTTCATCCGTCAAACCTCCTCCCTTCCTCCCTTCCCTCCCCACCTTCCTCTCCAACAGTAAGGAGCAGCAGAAGAACCACATCAAGGGTAACAAGTCTGTGTGGGAGCAGAGAACAAGTGAGATCCGCCGACAGAATCTGATGACGAGCCGCGAGGCGCTCTACAACGAGCTGGAGCAGGAAGACTGGAAGGTGGGAGGCGAAGGAGAGGAGGTGAGGAAACCCCCCCAAACAAGTATATACACACATATATATATATATGTATATATACAGTCTACTCCACATATATATGGTAAATATCTGTTGTGATGTTTCATTAAGTCTTCTCCAGGGTTAAAATATTCCTGCGAAACCTAAACTTTTAAATCAGATAGTTTAATGGTTTTATTTTTCACTTCAGTTCTGTCTATCACTGGGGCTGAATAAGAAAATGCCTCTCATGTCATTTGGATGAGCTGATCCGTAAAGTTTTAACAGCACCCACTGTGCCCCCCCACTCAGGTGTCCTACCCACGGAAACCACGTGGTGACATGAAGACCCACTTAGACCGGCCGCTGGTGGTCAACCCGCAGGACAACCGCAACAACAACACCAACAAGACCCAACCTGGTGAGCTTCCTCTGGAGCAGGAGTACCGGCACCAGGACATCGACCACCACCACCGAGCCGCCCACTACCACCACCACCACCACCACCATCACCATCAGAAAGCCTTTGGGCCAGACAGTGGGGACACGGGGCAGCCGACAGACACCCGCATGGAGCACGGGTTCAGCTGCACGTCTCTGGGGAACGTGGCGGGCCAGCAAGGGGAGGAGAGGCATAGCCACAGGAGCCACCGGGGCCACCGGCACAGGAACAGGGAAGGCAGGGAGGCTCGCAGCGCATCTCCCCACCGCAGTGAGGCGGGAGAGGGGCACCATGAGCACAAGAGGTCCAGGCAACACCGCAGGGCAGCCAGGGAGGGGGAGGAGGGCAGGAGACACAGATCCAGGGGGACGGAGGTAGAGGGGGAGAAAGTTGAGGAAGGTGAGGGACGTAAGACAAGACGGCATCGCCACGGCAACCAGGAGAGGAGCAGAGGACATCGCACCAGAAAGTGAGTGAACTTTTGCCTTCAACCACAAACTGACAAGCATGAATAGTTGAACTAGTGTTTGTCTAAAGGCTCCTCTTGTCTTCTCCTTCTGTCAGGGAGCACCACAGCACCGGTCCCAGTCTGTCCACCACACGACCCATACAGCAGTACAACGAGGACCTGGACAACTTCCGCAACAACAGCAAGCTGGCCAGCGCCCACGAGCATTCTTATGCCCTCCCACCAGATCATCCCGACCACCCTGACCACGTCAACAACCTGCTGAACTGCTGCGACGCCGACACACACACCCTGCTCCACAGCATGGACAGCCTGATCCTGACCAGCATGGCCAAACCGGATTACACAACCATAGACATGCCCCCTGTGTACCCCTACCCCTCCACCAACGCCATCCTGCAAGGTGAGCGTCCATTATGTGCAAACGGAGAAATCAAGTAGGTGCAAAGACCGTAAAGTCTTAACGTCAAACGTCTCTAGACCAGCCTTACTTAGTCAGAGGCCTTGTCCAGACATTGCCTGAGATATTTCTTTGTGAGTTCTCCAGAAATTATCCTGCTGTATTCTCACCTGGGTTCACTCATCCTCCAGAGTTTTTGCTTTAGGGCTTGCGCGAACAACTCAGGAGAATATGAGGAGCAACTGACTCAGACATTTGTTTTCTCACATTCAGCCCCTCTGGAAAATTTCAAGAAAATGTTTCAGTCCATATTCGGAAGCAGCTTAAGACTCAGAATCCAGGGAGAGGTTGTTTGTTGTGTGGAATAAGTGGAATATTAATCAAATGGTAACTGAAACCAGGGACTGATATTAACCCACCGTCATTCACTTCTGCTTTCGGAACGAAGCTGTCTGATGCTACGTGATGTTTGCTGTTTTGCTCTGGCGATGCTGACCTCCTTCTGTCTGTCTTTCTGTCCATCCCTCCTCCTCGTTGTTTTCTCCATTGTTCCGCTCAGTGAACAAGAACGCCAACACTGACCAGAAGAAGAGCGAGGAGAAGAAGGAGGAGGAGGACGAGGAAGGAGACGGCGACGGCCCCAAACCCATGCCTCCCTACAGCTCCTGCTTCATCATGTCCAACACCAACCCGTGAGTACTGACGTGTGTTAAGTGCGGTTGTAAAACTGAACATTGAACATGAGAATTTGTTTTGTGCATCAACACGTGCACGCATCTGTTTGCAACACAGGTTTCGGAAGTGCTGTCACTACATCCTGACTCTGAAGTATTTTGAGTTCAGCATCTTGTCAGTCATCGCTATGAGCAGCATCGCCCTCGCTGCAGAGGACCCAGTGTGGCCCGACTCACCACGAAACAATGTGAGACATCAGTGTGTGTGTGTGTGTGTTTGTTTGAACTTTAAGTCTGGATTACATCAGGGTGATCAAGAGGTTACTAGAATTAATGCTGTGAAGGATTCTGGTGTAATTCCAAACCAGTTTATCTGAAAACATCTGGGTTTCGGTTAAAGATCTAAATGCAGCAGTCGAG